CCATGCTGTCCGACCAATGTGTCTTGGTCTCAGCATCCGTGGACGAGGAAGATACCGTAGTGTCGGAGTTGCTCGGAGACGAGCCTGAACTACAAGAGCCCTGTCTTGTCTCTCTATGCTCGACTACACCTGACGAGGGCTATTCTGTTGACAGTGATGAACATGGTCCCTATGTTGAGCTATGTTTCACGCCAGAGATGTCAAAGGTAGTGTTGGATCAGACCCAACTTGCACAGCCTGAAACAGACATGGTCGCAACGATGAGAGTATATGTATCATCGGCTGCTAAACGTGCTGTGGTAGTCAAGGAAGACGACCTACTCACCAAAGCTGATATAGCAGCACATTCTAAAGAGGTTAGTGAAGCCTTGTACACCGAACTCAAGATCTGGCTTGACAACCGATGCTTTGAGATGTATGACCTATCTAAAACTTTCAACATCAGGACATCCAGATATTTATACAAGTGGAAGTTTGTGAAGGTAGGCGCCGAGAATGTGAAAGCCATCCGTCTTAGACTTGTCCTCCGCGGATTCATGGACGCGGAGGCTTTCGATGTAGAAGCCTTCTCAGGAACTGCTCGAAGACAGTCCCAAAGGCTCCTGGCAAGTGAGGCGGCATGTCATCCAGAATGGATCTTAGCATCTATGGACATCGACAAAGCGTTCCTCAAATGACTGACCTATGAGGAACTTGCTCATGCCACCGTCGAGGAAACTCGCATGGTTTGCTTCGCCCTTCCACCAGGAAGTGCCCAGGTGCTTCGTGCACTACCAGGTTTCTCTTCTTACGATGAAAGCCGACACTGCCTCAGGTGCCTCAAGCCAGGAACGGGCACAAAGGACGCCCCAAGAGCGTTCTCCCTCAAGCTTCGTACGACTACACGAGCTATAGGCCTTACACCGACAAGTTACGATCCTGAGTTTGAATTCAGTCAGGATCTGTTAACGGCAAAATACGTCGACGACATCAATATGACAGGCCTAGAGAAAAACGTAGATGACTGTGTACAACGTGTCGAAAAGGTGTTTTGGTAAATGCAAGCTCAACAAACATTCTTACACGAATTGCGCCGTTCGTTACACGAAGAATGAACAAGGGGATGTGATCGTGGACTAGGACGAGTACACTAAACAACAACGTCCTATCACTCACCCTGAACTTACGGGAGCGGCGGCAGACGCCAAAGCTACCAAACTCATCACCGACGTGTTTGTTAGCCTGCGAGGAGCTCTCGCCTATGCCCTTCTTACTCAAGTCTGGCTTATGGTGTATGTGGTCTCTCTCCAGAAGATCCAAGAGCCCACCAACTTACAAGTCAGGTGACTGAATGCTGTGACGCGAAAGCTGATCAGCAGCCCGAAACGCATCACCTTCCCTGGGATGAAGCCGACGAATGAAGTAGACATACACAGTGATTCGCTATATCGGAAACTCACCGGGGAGGAGGGCGATGAAACCAAGGGCTACGGCATTCGCGGGGCCAACGTATTACGGCGAGGAAACTCGCCTCAAGGCAAATCCGCCATTCACCTTTGCGACGGACAATGCAAATCACACCGACTGCAAGTGAGGTCCAGCTATGCCGCTGAGGCACTTGCAGCTGCGCATAATCTTGATGAGTGTTATCCCACCCTCATCACTCTCCACGAGCTCAAGGCCGGAGCACTTACTCCACGACAACTACGAGATATGCGTGAAGTTGGAGGCCTAGCTATCAAAGTATCCCTTACTATAGACGCTGAGTCTGTATACAAATCGCTATCCAGCAAAGATCTTAAGATACCGGCGGAACGGACTTTGCTGGGACATATCAGCTGGATGCGTGAGCTCATGGACATAGGTATAGTGCATAACGTACAGTGGTGTGACACTAGAGACATGACCGCAGATGGGCGTACAAAGGGGAGTATCGACCGGGAGCTGCTTTTGGAAGTGATGTCAGGCACTCAGTCATTTAAGTATGACGTGAAGCAGTTTGTTCCTTTTCGAGGCCCCGAGGACAGAAACAAGCCTAAGTCGAATCAGTTTTACTCTGTCCTTGTTGCCCCCGCGGTCCAGTTTGCCAGCACGGGCGCCTAGTGCAGAGGCGCCCTCCTAGCTGCTCGGAAGCGAGCCAGACTTTTCACGCTTGGCAACGAGCCTGTTCAGATTGGTGCAGGCTCTTTGCTTTAATACCCTTTTGCCAGGAGGGGAATAGCCTGTTTGGCTTACCTCTAGCTGGGCCGATAGCCCTTGTATATCCAAGGGGCTATCCTGCGTGTGCGTGGAAAAATTTTGCGAGGAAGCTCGACGGCGAATAATCTCGCCCTCCAGTCTGGTGGTAGGCCAGACTGTGCGTATTGTTTTTCTTGCAAACAGTTGTGCGCGCGGCCTTTCTAGAGCCTAACGGCTGCGCGGCTTTACTCTCCGTCTCCTCCCCTCCCGACTTTCAGGGTAACTCTTTGGGAGATGTTATAGAGGATCGGGAGTATAGCCTGCGCGCCGCTGCCTTTGGCACAAGGCACGCGCGCCCTATTTGCCCGGACACTTACTTTAGTGTTCGCTATGTGCTGGAAAGATCATTACATCGATCGTATCCAATCCTATCCATCCACTCCCCATATCGTATTCCTTCGACATGGCATTGGATGCTATATGACCTGCCAGAACCATTTCAGACTCTGCTGCTGTCGTTATTGTTGTTGTTGTTGTTGCTGTTGCTGTTGTTGTTAGTGTTGTCGCGGTTGTTGTTGCTGTTGTTGTTGCTGATGCTGCTGTTGTTTTGGTTGTTGTTGTTGCTGCTGCTGTTGTTGTTGCTGCTGTAACTATTATTGTTGTGGGCGTTGCTTACTTTTCATTTCTAAAGAATAATTGCAGTTGCCCCCCCCTCAGACGACTTTTTTTTTCTCTTCCAACCCTCCTGTGGAGTTGGCTTTTCGTGTTGGATTCGCAATGCCGCGCGTCTCCTTCTTCTTCTTCTTCTTCTTCTCCTTCGCCTTCTCCGCCTCTCCTCCTCCTCTTTCTCCTCCTCCTCCCCCTCTTCCTCCTCCTCGCCATCATCATCTTGAAATCAGTTGCCACCCTCATCGCCGTTGTCATCACATGTTCGTCACACCCCTCACACGGTTCGTACCACTCTAGGGAGCTCCACCGAAGGCTCCAGCGACGACTCTAGCAGTGCAGCAGGCTTCATCCTCCTATTTTTTTTTGGAATTTCGGCAGATCCCTGATACGTTTTGTAGCCCCATGGGGGGCTCCACCGAGGGCCAGGGTTCACATGGGTACCCGCCCCGTGTCCGCAGACGACCGAGGGCCCCACTGGCAGGGTTCACATGCGGACCCCTCGCAAGTTTCGCGGCTTCATAGGGGGCTCTTCGGGAGGCCCCAGTGGCGTGGTTCGGATGCGTACCCGGGTCCATTTCGGCGGATTGCTCGCACGTTTCGTGGCCCCATAGGGAGCTCCTCCGAAGGCGCCAGTGGCAGAGTTCGTTTGCGTACCCGGGTCCATTTTGGCACAACCTCCATGTCGGCAGACTCTCACTATTCGTGGGCCCATAGGGAGCTCCACCGAAGGCCCCAGTGGCAAGGCTCGCATGCGTACCCAGGTCCATATCGGCACACCCCTCACACGTTTCGTGGCCCCATAGGGAGCTCCATGGAAGTCCCCACCAGCAGGGCTCACATATGTACCCGTTCCATGTCGGCAGACCCCTCACACGTTTCGTGGCCCCAGAGGGAGCTCCACCGAAGGCCCCAGTGGCATGGTTCGGATGCGTACCCGGGTCCATTTCGGCAGATTCCTCGCACGTTTCGTGGCTCCATAGGGAGCTCCTCCGAAGGCGCCAGTGGCAGAGTTTGTATGCCTACTTGGGTCCATTTGGCACAACCTCCATGCCGGCAGATTCCTCTCACTATTCGTGGGCCCATAGGGAGCTCCACCGAAGGCCCCAGTGGCAAGGCTCGCATGCGTACCCAGGTCCACTTTGGCACACACCTCAAATGTTTCGTCGCCCGATAGGGAGCTACACCGACGGCCTCGCTCGCAGGGTTCGCATGCAATTACTCGCACATCCAGTGCATTGTTTGGCGCAGTTGTCCTTCAGGTTCTGGTCATCCGCGTGTGATTACGCCAGAATTTTCATGACTCCTCGAGCACTTGCGCATCGGACGATGACCAAACCCACCCAGACCGAATTGTCCGACTGGACAGTTGTTCGACGCAGTTGTCCTTCGGACCTGCTGATGGTCTTGCATATGCAGTGCATTGTTTGACGCAGTTGTCCTTCGGACCTGCGTTTGACTCCGCTCATCCGTGTCAGGTCACGTCAGACTCTGAGCTTCGCGCGCATTCGTGCGTCGGTCTTGTGGGTCGTTTTCACGTCCGTAGTGTGGGTTGGGTTCTTCGCCAGAGTAATTTCAATTAAAGTGCTCCTTCTGGGGCTCGCATCCTGTTTTACTAGGGGAACTTTTGCGGCTCAGATTGGGCCCCTGTTCCCTCACTTACAGCAACAACGGCTCCCGCCTGGTACGTCCTTGCAATTTCTTTCAAAGTCGTGCTCTCGCGCGGGACGTCCTCACACTTTATGCAGAAGTCGCGATCTCGCGTGGGACTTTCTCGCAATTTATTCAGACGCCTCGCCCTCGACATTCAGGAATCACGCTCTTGCTTTGGCATGCTTTTGCCTTCCTTGCGATTTACATGGGAATCGCGCTGACGCTCGAGAGTTCCCTGCGACTCATGCAGGGCTCACGCTTCAGCAACCCGCCTGCTCGACCTGGCTGCCTGGGCCTTCCCGACCCGCCCACTCGGGTCTGCCCGCCCGATCTGCCCGTCTGGGTCTGCCATGTGTTTTCTGCTCCTGGCCCCCCTCCTGCTAATTTCTCTCGTGCTCCGTCCTTCTTCCTCCCCCTTCCATCCGTCCTCTCCTCCCCTGTTTTGAGGGCTGCGCGAATTGCGCGTGTTATGTAAGGAAGATTACCCCCATGGGGGCTCGATCGAGGACAAAGATGGCGGGTGGGATATGCGTGGTGAACGGCACGCGAGCAGATCGGAGCGAACAGTCTTAGAATTTGTGCTCGTGTTGTGGTTGTTTTCCCAAATCGCTTCTACGAACCTGTGCTCGAATTGTTGCAGAGTGGGCAGATGAAGCCAGCTTTTGGCATTCGTTCGTTGAGCTTCGTACTAAAAGCAAGAAGACGCACCTGCCAGCTATTGTACCTTTCATCCAGTCACGCTTCCCACGTGAACCAAGTCGCATTCCACAGCCTTTTTGGCTCAGCGTTGGCAGTTTAAAGTTACGCCAGTGTACTTGCTCTTGTGCATGCCGTGCATTTTGGGGGAATCGACCTCAGGAGTTCGGTGCAATGCCAGGCGATGTTGCATACACCGTCTTTCAGAGGGGTAGTCGCCTCCTATCAATCCTCAACGAGGAGGCGCATGAGTTCCTGGCATGCTGTCTCTCGGCTCTCAAGGATGCCACTCTGGAGATCACCGACGACGCTTTGGCTATCGCGGTCGCGAGCAGCGCCGCCGTGGGCGTAGGCTTATCTGTTGTAATGCCACGCGAGCCCCACGTAGTTGCAATCGCTGTCTCGTACGGCTGGGGCGCCTCCGTGTGCCTCTCCGTGGTGGTGGTCTCCTGCGGGGTCCTGATGGTGATCCCCCTGTACGCTGCCTGCGTGGCGGAGCCATCAACGCAAGCCGTGCACCCGTCATGTTCTCCAGCGAGGTCTATTGCGATTGGGCCCGTCAGACCGCCACCGCTGGCCATAGGACCCGCCAGGCCATCACTGCTGGCCAGTGAGCTCGCCAGGGCACCGCTGCCAACAACCGGGCCCTGCCATGTGCCAGATTCGCCAGACACCTCGGGCCCGGTTGTGCGGCGAAGGAGGCCCAAGGGAGTGGCGCCCCCGCCTGGATTCGTGCTTTTAGGACCCAGGCGTTCATGATTCCCAGGGTTACACTATTCCGCCGACCTCCTGAGAACGAGGGTGAAGGAGGACGATGATGAGATGGACCACGACGACGGTACGAGTGGGATGGAGGAGAAGGACGAGGACGACAAGAAGATTTTTGTTTTTTTGGGGGGGGCCTCGTCCAGGTCCCCCTTAAGGAGTCCCTTTCGGTCTCGTGAGTCCGTCGGGGGTCGTCGCAGGGCCTCTTCTGGGTATTCCGTGCTGGCTGGGGCGGGTTCCTGGAGGCCGCTCGCGACCCGAAAGCCCCGCGGGGGCCGGCGGATGTTTGCAAGTATACATGCTCATGGCGTCCTCTCGGAGGCGTGTTGGAGCGCCTTGGAGGCTTCTCGGCAGCCTGCTCATGGGGGCGTTTTGGGGCCTTCTTTGTGACCATTGGGGGCCTCCCGGCGCTTCTGGGGGCCTCTCGTAGGCCTGCTGGCGGTCTCGGTGGTCAACTTGGGGCGGAGGGCTCGAAATGTTGGTTTGTGTTTCTCCTCTTGGTGGTCTCTTGGGCCCATTCGTGGCCGTTTGAGCCGTCTTGGGGGTCTCTTGGGCCGTCTTGGGGCCCACTTGGTTGGCTCCTGGGGCCGTTTTGGGACAATGTTGGGGGCCCCTTGGGCTGTTAGGGAGCGTTAAAATCCCAGACAGGCGAGAACGCACACATCGTAAAACACCGCAGGATCATCTATTTTTTGTCTTCTTTGGGTTGTGTAGGGGGCCTGTTGGGTCGCCTTGGGATGATCATGGGGGCCTCTTGGGCCGACTTGGAGCGTCGGAAGCCCGATACATAGAGAACGCTCAGATCCTTGAAATGATAAGGACAGCATGTAATTTTGGCCTCTTGGGGGCCTCTCGACGGGCCTCTTGGGCGTCTTGGAGAGCTACTTGGCCGTCTCGGAGCCCTCTTGGCCCGTCATGGGTGCGTCCTGGGATTCTCTTGGAACTTTCTGGTGCCTTCTTGCCTCTCCGAGGGCCCGGAAGAAGCGCCAATGAGTTCCCGCTCCCCCCCCCCTTCCCTCAAAAGCGATTTTGGACCCCAGGGGATGGGAAACGAGGGAAGAGGACGGCCAACTATCCCACGCGCCTTGTCACCCCTAGCAAGCGGGGGTCGTATATCTTGTGGGTGTCATCGCGTACCGTAGTGTAGTTGAATGCAGATTACAATATTATTGAAGACGCCGACGGCGAACAGCCGCCGCTCCCTGTCTTTTTAAAGCGCCCATGTGACTAAACGTTGGGCCGAAGTCTTGCCAAACTATTGGTATGTGCCCTCTCAGCCATTACGGAAACGCTTGGGGAAACACAGGGAAAGAAGGAGAAGAGTACGTAGCACCCCGCAATTGCGGATAAGAGTGAGGGGGCGGGCGCGGGCGACGCGGGCGCCGAGCCGGCGGACCTCGTGGCCCTCACCTTCCCTGTCGATGGCGCCCTCCTACTCCTCCTCCTCTTCCTCGTCCGCGTCCTCGTCCTCATCGTCGTCGTCGTCGTCGTCGTCGTCGTCCGCCTCCTCCTCCTCCTCCACCTCCTCCTCCTCTTCCTCCTTTTCCTCCTCCTCCTCCTCCTCCTCTTCCTCCCCCATCCCGATCCTCACCCCTCCTCCTTTCCGTCGTCGTCGTCCTCCTCCTCCTCCCCCTCCTCCTCCCTCCTCTCTCTCCTCCTCCCTCTCTTCCAGCCCCGCCGCAGGCGCCGATGTGCTGTTGTAGAGTCAGCGTGGGCCGGATCGGGGGAATGGCACGAGGGCGCTTTCCCAAGCCAATGCGAGCAAGCCCGCCGCAGGCGCCGATTTGCGTGCTCTGACAAGTTCAGGGCGGGGGGGATCGCTGGTGGGCCACCCGGAACGAATGCAAAACCAGCCCGCCGCAGGCGCCGTGTCCACGCCAGATTCTGCGTGTCCGCGCCCGGCTGGGTGTGGACACGCAGAATCTGCGTGTCACGGGGGGCCCGCCAGGACGCTCAAAATCTGCGCGTCGCGCGCCGGGGGTCCCGGGGGCCGGGGCGGGGACACGCAGAATTTGCGTGTCACGCGGGCCCCAGCAGGAGGGGGGCCAAGGGCAGGGAACCGTGGCGCTCCCAAACAGACGCCCGCGCGCCCCGCCAGGAGGGTCGGGGGCCGGGGGCCGGGGCGTGGACACGCAGAGTCTGCGTGTCACGCAGGCCCCGCCAGGGGGGCGGACGCGCAAAATCTGCGTGTCGCACGCCGGGGGTCCCGGCGGCCTAGGCCAGCGTTCTGTGGACACGCAGATTCTGCGTGTCCACGCGAGATTCTGCGTGTCTGGGTCGTGTCACGGGGGGCCCGTCAGGATGCCCAAAATCTGCGCGTCGCGCGCCAGGGGTCCCGGGGGCCGGGGCGGGGACACGCAGAATCTGCGTGCCACGCGGGCCCCAGCAGGAGGGGGGCCAAGGGCCCGGGACCGTGGCGCTCCTAGACAGACGCCCGCGTGCCCTGCCATGGGGGCCAGGACACGCAGAATCTGCGTGTCACCTCCAGAACGCCGCGCAAGCTTCCGGGGGCACGCGAAAGCTCCAGGTTCGAGACCCCCGCTGCCCCCCCGATCGTGAGCAGCAGCTTTACTGGTTGAACATCGTGAGGGAGGTCTGCCGCCTCCTCGCGGCAGCGCTCGCGGCAAGCGCCGCGGCGTCGCTGGCTCGGCAGGCGGGTTTGGCGGACTTGTCGGTCTACGACGTGCAAGTGATGTTGTGCATGCTGCACCAGCAGGCCGGCCTCGCGGCCCGCCACCGCGCGCAGCCGCAGTCAGCAGGGGCCCTGGAGTCGGCGGCAACGCCGGCGGCGGTGAGTCCCGCCGTCGCGGAAGGGCGGGTCTCCCGGCCAGCCGCGAAGCGACTTCGCCGCGCCCTGCGGGCGGCGGCAGCTCCCGACCGTGGGGCAGCGCCGTCGCGGGCGACGCCAGCCCTGGAGTCGCCAGCAGCGCCAGCGGCGTCAGCGCCGGCTTCGGCGCGCGCCGGGGCCGCGGCGGCGGCGGCCGCCTCGAGCTTCTCGAGGCCTTTGAGGCGGCTGCGGAGCGCCGGGAGCGCGGAGGTGCCTCCCGCACCGGCTGCGGCGGCGGCGCCAGCGGCTGCGGCGTCGGCGGCGCAGCCAGCGGTGCTGGAGGCCTCTCAGGCGGCCGCGGCGGCGGCGGCGCTGCCAGCGGTGCCGCCCGCGGCGCCGCGGCGCCGCTCGGCCAGAGGGGGGGCGGGGCCGGCCCCGCAGGCTCAGCGTAAGCGCCCAGCCCAGCGCCCAGCCGAGGGCCGGGACAAGGACGTCGTGCGCCGGCTCTCGCTCGCGAGCCGGCTCTCGCTCGCGAGCAGCTGTCCCGACTGCGCCGGAGGAGGGGGCGCGTCTTGGACGCAATGTGCAAGGAGGAGCAGCGTTCAATTGACATTCTCGGCGGCGAGTCCGAGGAGCCGGGCGCCCCGGGCGGCCGGGAGTGCGCCGTTGCCGAAGGACCTGCAGAGCAAGGGGGTGTTAACGACGGTCGGTGGTCGGACAACGGCCCAGGGTCGGATCCCTCTTCGTGGTGGTCGGACGACGGCAATGGGTCAGACCCCTCCTCGTCCGAGCGGGTCTCTGGGAGCGAGTTCCTCGAGGCGATCGCGGCGGAGCATGCCCTCTGGCAGCGCCCGGAGCAGAGGGGGTGCGCCGCGCGCCCTTCCCGCAAGGAGGCGAGGGCGAAGCGGGCGCAGCTTCAGGAGGAGCGAGCGGCCGCGAGGCAGGCCCACTTGGAGCACATCGCCAAACAGGAGCAGGGGCTGGCGGGCGTCCTCTCCGACGAGGCGCCATCGGAGGATGAGGAGGAGGAGAACTTCGTGCCCGGGCCAGACTACACGGAAGCCGCTCTCCAAGAGTGGGTGGTGAGCGATGAGGGCGAGGCTGCGCCAGCCTACGGCGCGGGAGACCTCGCCGCGGCAGCGGCGCTCATCGCGCGGGGGCCGGATCGGCCGCGCGCGCGGGCTCGGGCGCCTGCGGGGCCGCAGGGCCCGCCCGCGCCGCACGCCGCCGCACCCGCCGTGCCAGGAGACACAGCGCTCGTGCCCGAGCGGCGGCCTGGCACAGACGGCGCGAACGCCGTCCGATGCACCGGGCGGCCTGGATCACCGGGCGTCCCGCGCTAGAGAAAAATCATCATCTTATCCTCCCCCCCCTTCCTCCCCCGTCCTCCTCTATCACTTCCTCTTCCTCCTCCTCCTCCTCCTCCTTCTCATCCTCTTTCTGTAGAGGGGGTAAAATAAGCAACGCTTGTGCGCCGCTTGCGATCCCTCCCTCGCTCCTCGCTCCTCGCTCCTCGCTCGTCGTCGTCGCCGTCGTCGTCGTCGTCGTCGTCGTCGTCGTCGTCAGGGCAGGCGTCGCTTGCACCGTGAAGTGTATTTGGTCCCGGGCAGGGCCGCGCAAGTTTGGCGCCGCGGGGGTGTGACCCACGAGCGCGCTGCGTGCCGGAGTGACGTGCCGCGCCTGCCGTGCCACGCTTTGCCGCGCCGTGCCGTGCCATGCCGAAGCTTTATAGAGGCCCCCAAGAATTCCCGAGGGCGTTGCCTGAAAAACGTGACGCCTAGACTTGACACGCAGATCCTGCGTGTCACACGGAACGCGATCGGAGCGGCGCTGTAGCGCGCCCGCAACGACACGCGGGACAAGCCTTCGTCGAGCGGGCCCGAAATGGGCCAGGGGAGCCCGTGCGAGCACGCCTGCTGGGGCCATGAGCGGAGCTCCCTGGAGGGCACGACACGCGTGAGAGGTGTGCCGAAACGGGCAGGGAAAGCCCACGCGAGCACGCCTGCTGGGACCAAGAGCGGAGTTCCATGGAGGGTACGAAACGTGTGAGGGGTGTGCCGAAACGGACGGGGAGGGCCCATGCGAGCACGCTTGCTGCGGCCATGAGCGGAGCTCAGGGCCAGGGCAGGAACAGGAGGAAGAGGAGGGGGATATGGGGGAGGAGGGAGGGAGGGAGGGAGGGAGGGAGGGCGGGAGGGAGGGAGGGAGGGAGGAGGAGGAGGAGGAGGAGGAGGAGGAAGA